GATGAAGGTAGAAGAGCTAGGAATCTGAAAAAATCATGTCCCTATTTTACGCACCGCAACATTGATGAGCTGAGCACTATGCTGCCGGCCACGAAATCCAGGAATGTCGCAGAAGTCCAAGAATATCGCGGAGGTCTGCGACATTCACGCAGATTTTGAACGTCCTGTGAGTAGTACTGTATTTCCTGGATCTTCACTAATACCGAGCTAAATCGATGGCATATACAAGGATGTTTGAAATTTGATCAGCTAAAACGCATCAATTTCTCGCCACATTGTTGTTATGTGAGTAAACTAGAGGAGAGCACGCCCTCGCGCAACTGACCGTTGGACTAGTTCCGTGCGAGATTGACCACGGATCGCTGCTTTATAAGACAATTGCCTTTGCCTGTGAGTTGCAACCGAATACATTGCTTCCTGACAGTCTCGCTCCGCTATGAAATTATCGCTGTCTACCGGAGTTGTATGACTTCTGAGCCTCTTTTCCTAAGTCTACACCATTTTCTTTATCCATAAATAAAAAGGCCATCTTCGTGAATCTCGAAAAGAGCGTTTTCGCATAGATTTTATCAGCTCTCTCACGCTTCCAACAACAAACACATTGAACAATGTACACATGTTTTGGGACACCTTGTGTATCTGCTCAAATCCATACCAAATTTCGTCTGGGAAGGAGTTGTGCTTGCGACCAAGCACAAGTGTATTGCACGAGAGTCTCTTCACTCCACCTTTCTCGATCACCACAGATGTTGCTCAAATTGAGGTTGCTATACAAATTACTCTATTGGACAACTTCTGGTTGAAATAAAAAAGCTTTCAAGTTCTTTGCTTTACGAAACACCGCATAAGACAAGATTTGATGGATGTGTAATATATAAACCGGAACACTTCGAAGAACTAAAATCTGAATCGAAACCGCAACTCTCACACAGGGCGCAAGCGTGCGTTTCTGTCATGGAACGCTCATTAAGCATCTCACTTGACATCCTTTCTACTAGGCTGGTGTGACTACTGCGCATTGACCCTTCTTTTCACTTTCCTTGCAAAAGCCACTAGCATATAGGTCTGCTTCAAAGTCCTTTGTGGAAAGTAACATGATGTTTCCAGCACATATTCAATTTCCTCTCTTCTCTACTTCTTCCAGTTCGAACTCACAGTTATAAAGACCAAAAATCTCACTGCACACCTTTATATGCTTCGGCCAGTAAAAACATGTGTGCGACAGCTGATAAAAAACCTTCAAAAGATGGTACATATCTCAGTTCGAAGCGTCGAACATCCTCACTTTTCTTATCAGCTTAGAGCACATCTGTTTGATAGAGAAACCAAGTTTTCTGAGAATCTGTACCGCAATTCATGAGTATATTAAAGGCAATGAAAATGAGTTGCTCTTCAAAGTAGAGTATTATCATCGAAATGCTTCTAATTATCTTGGGCTCGCCGCTTCAGCGGGTGACAAAGAGGCATAAAAGTAAAAATTTTGTTATCATTCATTGTTTTCTTGCACACCATTGGATTCAAAATAAGCAAATTACGGCTTGAGCCAATGTAAAAAACCGGTCAAAACATGATTGAACTTTATGACCATAAGATCGCTTTTATGGTAAGCTATGCGCGCTCGAAAGTGTGCATACATACGATAACTTCCTTTTGAAGAAGAACATCCTGCCATTTGCATTAGTCTAAAATGAAATTTCTTTATTGTACCGGAAGGGTACAAATTAGTCAAGAGAAAAAGTACTGCTGTTACTCCAGCTAAAACTGCTAAAACCATTTCAGTTTTGTTAATTTTTTTGACCACCTCTATCCAGTTAAAAGTAAAAATAATTCTTGCTAATTGAACATGTCTACGCATAATCATAGATTTTCAACCATCATTCAATTTTTTCATCATGGCTTGAATGCCTAATATGTGAAATTAGTTACACCATGAAATTATATGTTATAAAAATATACGTATGCTCCGAAAAATTTTTTGTACATTTCAACCAATATTTCATTTTTGGTGAAGAAAATGTGCTTCGACTGAATATTTCTCGTAATCACTTCTGCTCTGGTTGCCGAAAATGAATGGGTAGCCGACATTATGGATAGTCAGCTAAATCGATTGCCTTTGATTGAATATTACCTGCGGATTTTGATCACTGAAATGCGTTGCATCCCTTGCGCATATCATCAGACTGCAGTCCAAACGCTTTACACTCTTTATTCACGATACCTCGCTGACCTTTCTTCTCTTTGTGAAGGCAGTATTGTCTTTTTGATGTCGCACAGTCTTGTCTATTATAAGGACCGCACTCTTCTCAAAAATCTAAATCTTATCAAAATGACATCCTTTGCGTAGCATACAAGTTGGAAAACATCTGAAACACCTGCTTTGAAGTATTTCTAATTCAAATTTTTACGCGCTTTTTGTTTTATTGTGCCATAAAAGAGAAACCATCATTCCAGTAAAAAACAGGTTTGTCAATGACTTTGATTTTATATCTGACTAAAACACAACCAATAAAAGCATTTTTTATTTCTTATGTTCACTTATTTCCGTAGAGATCAGAGCGCGGCATAGGTGGCTCGGCAATCTGGATATCGTTTCGCGGTAAAAAGCAAGGGAAATATCGTTTACGGGAACCCCAACCACCGAAGTCTTATTTGCAGCAAAGAGGAAATGAAATGGCGCCAAGACTGATGTGTAGATGGGCAATAGGGAGTTAGGACTACGTAAGGAAAATCATGAAAAAGTTATGTGACCTGAAGGCGTGGCATACATTTTTCGGAGTTAGGTGGCTTTCCAGCCACCTGGACAGCAATTTGAGGTGGCTGTGAAAAGAAATAGTCATAAATTTCCCTTTTACATAAATTTTCTGTGAAGATGAGTTCATTCAAAATACCTTACTTTGAAAGACAAGAGATCCAGTTTCTAATTTTTTTGGTCAAATGCAACTCCAAAATTTCAAATTTTATCTTTAGAAACTTTACAAGCAAAAGGAAATTTTTGAAAACCAATCCAATGAGAGTTACAGACTTGTGCTACAAATATACATCAAAGCAAGATTTGAGGAATTTCGACCTAAAAAAGTTCTAACGCAAAAGGCGCGATTGTATGCTGTAATTCACAAAAAAAATCTTTGTTTACCACTAGAGAGACTACCAGAAAAGTTTCGTTGTATAAAGAAAGCATAGACCTGGAACTTCTGTAATAGGAGAACACAAGGTTGCTTTTGGCGTCAAAAAATAGGTAAATCAAATAACGCACTTTTACGCCTCTAGAAAAGTTGAAAAATTCGGTTATTTTCAATTTTTTTAAAGTTTTATCTCAACACGTTTCGGACCGGTGCTGCACATGGTGCAGCGCGCTGCTTTGAGGGATCTTTCTGGCGTTTGCAGGAGCTTTCATTTTAGTCTAAAGTTGTTAAGTCAAAGGTCTAAGCTCCTACTTTTCAAATGACTCTGTAGAGTTGTGTCATCAATATTTGTTTAGGAGATATGAGCACAAATCGAACAACAGTTGCAACGAAATGCGACAACGCAAACGACGCGTGCGACGTCGCAACTTTCCTTTGCTTCGATATCAAAGAAAAAAACCGTAGTTTCAATACTGATGTGTGCCGTGTACAACATAGATACTTTTGAATACTATCAGAATCTGAGTTTTTGCTCCTATCTTTCAAGAAAGCACAAAAGTCCCTCTCAAGCGACAAAATTCAGACACTTCAAATTCACTCAGAACTTTGGATATGGAGCTTATCTGACGTGCTGATTGTAAAAGTGGCCCACAGGCTGCGAAATAAGTCCCTTTGTAGGCTAACGGCTGAAAATACACTCTTTTTCGCCGCGCTCGATTTCGCGGTCCGAAACGTGTTAAAGGAACATTTTTTCAGTTTTTTTGTCAGTGGCCTCAGGTTTAGCGCGCACATATAGTAAAATGCTAGTATAAATTTGCAATTGAAGTACTTGACCGGAAACTCAATGAGCCAGATTTAGAACATCATACATCATCCCACTACCGCTTGTCATCTCATTGCCAGTCAATTTGTTACCATTTGCCTCCATTAGCACTGCTCGATATTCCGTCTATGCGCTTGCTCTCAGTTGTAATGGCAGGGAATACTAGATTGAGGCATTTGCACCGAGTATTCATGTCCTTTCTATTAAGGGAATCGCTTGACGAGAAGTGAGAGCTCTCTACTAAACAAAAAGGAAAAAAATCGTTTGACATCTGCAATGATAAAAACTGATCAAACGTGACCCCAAAAATTGATGTTTCGAACCTCCGCTAAAACTGCCAAAAAATTTTTGCAGAACTGATTTGACTTTTTTGGAAAAAAATTGTTGATTGAATGCTACGAAATCAGGATCTTCAGATTACTTTATTGGACCTTCTAACTTTGATGCAAGTAGATTTCCAATCTCTATATGTATAAAGCAGCAAGTCTGTATGTATGTGCATACCCATAGTCATGAAAGGATAAGCGTGTAACTCATTTTGATCTGCTGGTCATTAAGATATGGTAAGGAAAGTAGGAAGCGGACTAAGCGAGTCGGAATCAAAAGGGAGCATGAAAAACGGGCTCCAAACAGGGATGGAACCCGGGTTGCCAGCTCCTATATATGAAGCATAAAATCTGTATGTCTGTGCATATTTCCCATAGCCAAGAGGGAATAAGCGGTGAAACTTATTTTGATCTGCGGTTCATCAAACTATTTCAAGGACAGTGGTAAGCGGATTCAAGACAAATCGGAATTGAAAGAAGGATAAGTCGTTACATAAGAGGTCAAGCACGATAAATTGGCTCCAAACAGGTGGAATCTGGGATGTCAATTCATATGTAATAAAACACAGCATGCATCACATTGCCAAAAGTGCACGGCGAAATTCGAAAAAGATTTCCTTTTTGATGCAACAATTACTCATCAACTCAGTATTATGTGGTACATTCTCTACGTAAGAAGCTTACGCATCTTCTTCGTTTCTTTCCGGTAATGTCATAACACAAATTTGCAGTTATGGCAATGCGACTCTCAACGGCAAAATCAGAAGCCTATATGCGGGTAAGTTTCTCAGATTTGCTACAATGAGTCGTTTCACAAACTGAAAATGTTCGAATTGTCGCATTGCATGAGAGCCAGATACTTTTTAGAAGGTTTTCTACCGCCTAGGACTGTCTATTGGCTATCATCCATGGCGTTACATCTTAGGACTGTTGCTTTTCACTGCCCTCAGTTCCATCGGATTTTTGAGATTTCATCAGGTGAGCAAAATTTTTGATACTCCTGCACTACATCAAAATTCTCTTACAGCGTAATAACGCTCGGATTACCTTCACGGATTCCGAATCTGCTAGTCACAAAGAGTCACAGATAGTGCAGCAGTTTCTCCAACAAAATGGAACTCTCAACATGATAGAGGTGTTCATGTTTCAAGTCATATTTTCACATGCTTTGCGACTATATCTATCAGGTTTTTAACTAAATTCGGTAACTCTTTCCATAACTTCTCTCTTTTTTGCACTGCACTCAAACTTTGGCAGTGTTTAGACTATGGTGTGAGCTAAAAATACAGCATTTGTCAAAATCTGACGCGTGTGAGAGTTACGGGTATACGGCAAAAGAAGAAAATCACGGATCGTTCTAGATCCTTAAAGTCATTATGATATTTGCGTTCAGGATTACCATGTAGGATTACCCTATAACGCAAATTCTCAGGCAAACTATAAAATTTTGCTCACTAGATCGGCTGAAATTGGTATCAGTTTTGCTGCGTTCAGCTGCGTTGTTTGACTTCCCAAAGGCGCCAAATCTGGAATAATCTCCAACTACTATTGCTTTCTTAGAAAGCTTAATGGCCAGTCTCTGACAATAATTTTGCAATAGTTCTGCGTTGTTATGTTTAGTTAAGGCCGAAAGCGGTATTTTAACGTTTTTGAACTCAAACTTTTTCTGTTACGTTTTTAAAAATTGAAGAATTTGGCTTGTGGCTTACATAGCAGTTCACGTAACTAATTCCAAAATTTGAGCGCTCCATGTCCAAAGAGAAAAGTTATAAAGAAAGTTGCAAAACTCAGTCAACGACTTATTACTAATCATGAGAACCAGAGTCACTAATGTTTGCTCCTTGACTACAGATGATCCGAATAATGTTATTTTTCAACTTTTTTGCAGTTTCTACTCAACTTTTTTCTATTTCCCTTACACAACCACATGAATGCATAAATCATAATGATTATACATGTTGCAAAAACATTGCCATTGCTATATAATGGAGATACGTTTCCAGACATGGTCTTCAAGACAAATGGGGTTTCAAAATTTTTAGTTGCGCAGAATCATAGCTGAAGTTCTTCTTTATGAAACAAAATGGAATTTTGCATTAAAGCGTTGACAGAAGGTGTACAGGGCTTATCAATTGCAGTGTCGGGTGTCACCAACATTTCTTCTCCCACGCAAGACTCTGCAGCTCTTCCTATGCTCGCAGTGGGAAATTGGTCAGAGAGCATGTCCGCGAAGAAGTGCGGAGTCCAGATGAAGCGGTTGTGCGGGAGCGGAGATTCTGGTGCACCCGGCACACCAGTTGATAAGCCCTGTATCTGAGGATCGTTGAAACATCGATAGAGAAAAGTCTTTGGCTTAAGAAGAAAAAAGCTGAGAAAAGTGCAGCTTGCAGTATCAAACAGTCTGCACTACTGTTGCAATTACAACTAGGCCTCAAGGTTAATCGTTGTCAACACTGAGGTTTTCTGATATTTTTTGCAAAAAAATGACCGGTGTATTTTCCGCTCTTAAGCTTCAACAAATAGTTGAGAGCCTTTTTGTGTATACTTAGCATTTCTACCTCGTAACGTTTTCGTAACTGAACTTGAGGCACGTCTTTCATAGTTTCTACCTATCAGGTTGTCCCATAAGTTCCGTCCGTTTTAACTTTTGATCGCAATATGTAAGTCATGAACCTTGGTTCTAGACGGGATCTAAGGTATCATTTCGATAGAGCAAAGAAAGCTCTACAAGATGAGCTTCCTACTTTTGCAACAGTTCAAATCCTCTCAATTTTACAGCCAAAAACCAAAAAGATCCAACCGCCCGAAATAAAGTAAAAATCGTAACTCCTTCCAAAAAATTCCTAAAAAATTCCTAACTTGCTAACAGATACACTATCCACATCAGCCAATTATATATACTGTTCCTGTATTTCTTCCTTGAATAGAAGTCGAGAAAACGAAAATTTTCATGTGCTTGCCAAAGTGATGCTGTGCTGTTCTCACCCCAGTAGTTGTGTACCACAGACCAGTACAAGTACAGACATGAATGTTCAGCGCTTTACAGGCTTTAGTTCTCGAGAAACACTGAATTTAGTTTCGCACAGTCGGGTGTCCCATATTAAAACGAATACTTCTCGAGAACTAAAGCCTGTAGGCGCTGAAAATTTGTGTCTATACTTGTACTGGTCTGTAGTATACAACCACTAGTGTGAAAGCAGCACAACATCACTTTCGCAAGAACTGAAAACTTTCGTTTTCTCGACTTCTATTCAAGAAAAAATACAGGAACAGCATATATAATTGGCTGATGTGGATAGCGTATCTGTGAGCAAGTTAGGAATTTTCCAGGAATTTTTGGAAGGAACAATTTTTTCTTTATTTATCGGGCGGTTGGATCTTTCCGGTTTTTCGCCTCAAACTCGAGATGGATTTGAACTGTTGCGAAAGTATGAGGCTCATCTTGTAAAGCGCTTGCTTTGCTCATCAAATGATACCTTAAATGCTGTCTAGAACCAAGAAGTTCATGACTCACTGCGATCGAAAGTTAAAACGGACGGAACTTATGGAACAACCTGATATATCGAAAAAGTGCAACTTTTTTAGCCCTCTAAAGAAAAACTTTTTTTAGTCCCTTATAAAACCATAGCTTATCTGCTTAGATAAGAAGTTTCTTAACTTTTCTTGCTGCGTTTTGCTATCGATGGAAGAAATCATCTGGAAAACGTAAAGGTTCAAAAAATTTTACTCGTTCTGCCCCCTTTTCCTTCTTTGCAGGATGCTGGTTTGACCGTCGCACAACATAAGTGAGTGCTTTACATACCACTAGAACAAATTTCGATCAGAAATTATAACAATTTGAAAATTTCATATAAGTGCGCGGGAAAATTTTTTGCAACCCTGCAACTTAATTTGTTAGTACGTAGCAGCGACATAATACCAGTCTCTTGCTAAAATATACAAATAAGCAAAAGTTCTGAAAACCAAGGCACGACCTCGTGGTATGCAATCGCGTTTTGGGCAAGAAAAGAGGTCTAATTACATATTGGTTTTGTCAAGAATGACTGTTAGCAATATGAGGGTTTTATGGGAATTTTGATGCGAAAGAAATTCTGACAGAATGTGTAGAAAATGGTAAAGAAGACTTTAGGTAATGATTGAAGCACGAGACAATGGAAGCCTTCTCAGAGAAAAGCACCGTCAACAGGTCTGGGACTTAGTCTACGAGATTTCTAACAACATTACTTCTGAGGTTGGTTTTTTCCTAATCAAATTTACAGTGAGGAAGCCCTCAATTTCATTTAGGACTCCAAAGGGCAAACACTGACCTACAAAAACATGTGTGATCCTTACTGTCAGAAGAACGATCCATTCTTTGCCTTATTGAAGATTTACAATCAGAACTTCTCCAGGGTCGATGTGTGTCCTCAAAAAATCAATCAAATTTTTTCTTACAGTTTTCTTCAGATTACTTACCCAACCATGGAACTGCTAGGCGAGAAAATTTTCATAGCTGCTAATGTTTACGACGTGACCGTCGATCCAAAAACGCAAGTGCTTCTTGGATTTCGGACAGCAATACTTCGGTATTACATGGTGCACCCTGAAACAAAGCCGCTCACAATCTGGGAAGAGAAAGTTGGCATAAAAGTCTTTACAGTGCTTGCAACATATAATTCAGATTTATAGCTCGTGAGAATCCTTTACGATAGTAATGAGTACGATCTATTGCGATGTGGAGCGGCATCGGATAATTTAGTAGCGAATGAGGTATGAAAACAAACACGAAAGCTTTTGTATCATTGTTACCGTTTAGGTGAGAGATATGGGCAACAAGACTGTTCCACTACTTAGTATATCTCTTGCTGTACTCACAGTATTTTTGATGTTATGCTCATTCAGGTAGAAAATATCAGAGCTAGAAGGGGGAAATACTCGGTGACCCGACCTGAGATGAAATGTATGCCATTACACTCGCTCAGTGATTGGTGCGATGGCCTCACAAGTAAATGCAGGTGTACGTTCGAATCATTTCGCATGTTTTCAGTTTAGCATTGCTTCATTCATTCTTTTTTTGAAAGTTAGACATCCCCGAGATGATTGCACGCCCTAGATGGAAAATTGGGAAAAATGATTGCTATCGTTAAAATGTATCCATTGACACACTCATTGCGAGCAACCCTATGTTCTAATTACCGTTGTCATATATCCCATCACCGTATTTAACATGTATTCATTTTCTAATCATTTTCATTTTTATAAGCACCTTTCAAAATAAATTTAGGAAACATTCATATAAAAGTGACGCCTCGTTGAATTCTGAAAGAGTAAGAACACGCATTTACCTCCAGGATGCCTAAGTTTCAAAAAGAATAATACGTTGATGACAAAGCGCAATTTTAGATGTCTGCCTGCGGGACAATGCCTTCCACGAATAAGTCGGGAATCTCTAGCTAAAATCACGCAAACTGCCATCTGTACTATACATAAGCAAATTCTAAAATGCAGCCAACACACGACAAGTATCCTCTAGGGTCAGAACGTAAAAGACCTCATTAAACAAATCTACTCAATAATTGTAATCATTTTAACAAAATATGCCGTTACCCACCATGTGGGTCGCAATGTACCACGTGGCAGTCATTGCATGACCCACCATGTGGGTCACATCGTCTTCAATGTGTCAACTGAAGCAATGCAAAGCTGAAAACACACCCTGAACGTATTTCCCTTGGGCGACCAAAATTGACGCAAAAGTCCTCTTTAGCTTCTTCCAAAGAAACGATTAGCAGAAACAGGAGTCGGATTTGGAATCAGCGTTCTAATATGAGTGTAATGCTATAGTACATCTCATCTTGAAAGGTCATGGACACCGGAGATCGTCTTGTTAGCGCAAAAAGTAGTTAATTTTCGCAATTTTCCTTAATTTCGAAGGATAAAGGCATGCGTCACCTCGAGAATACCAAACTTATAGAGTTTAGAGTTTAGTGAAGACAGTGCAAGACTGAAAACGCTAAAGATTCGTTCGTAAATCTTTCGAACTCACTGAACACAACACTACAGCGTGGCGTTGACTTCGGATTCCGACCTAATTTCCCTTAGGTGGCCAAACTTTGCAAGAAATTTTTTCCTTCTTTCGGAGACACGATTAGCAGTAACGAAAAACAGATTTGGAATCACTTCCAAAGCGAGTGTAATGGTATGCATTTTATCTTAAAAGCCCGTGGTCACCAAGTATCCTCCTCGAATATTTCGCCCTCCTACGCCTACAAGGGAAGGATGGTCAGTCGAAGTGGCCTTTTGCGATGATTCGTACACGATGTTATAGGGGTAAAATGCAGATTCCAGATCTGTCTTCCTTATCTCGGAGCGTTCCTGGACGAGGAGTTATGAGCGTTTAAAGGAGCAAAAAATGAATGTTTTTGTGGGATGAAAACGGTTGCGAAAATATTCCCACCGCTTTATTGAGACAAACGGAGTGCGGATATATCTCATCTAAAAGTATTTATTTTATACAGTGCTGGAAAAAGATTACCAGTGGTCCTTTGAGCGCTGGAAAAATATTATTACTGTTTATAAATTTGCACATTCAATTTTTTTCTTATAAACGCTCATAACTTCTCGTGCACGAAAGCGTCGCAGGTAATGAAGACAGATTTGGAGTTAGCGTTTTATGCCCTCCAATATGGTGTGCAACCCTTCTCAAAAGGCCAGTTCTACCAACCATCCTTCCCTTGTTAGAATACCTCCAATCGAAAAATTTTTTCAGATATGAAAGAAGAGAATCGAAGCCATTTGAATCTATTATCGGAGCAGCTACACCATTGCTCGCGGGAGTAACCACAGTCGGACTGGTTTCAGCAACCGGATTGGCTTTCCAGTCAATTGTTGTCAGCACGCTATTCTTAGTGCTAGCAATAGGTGCTGAGTTTGCTTTGATGGCATTTCACCAGTTGATACTATGATTATTTGCTGCAAGGCAAAAACCATAGAATAGATTTTTAGGGATCGATGATGTTTTTATCATGCTTGCAGCGTGGCATCATACCGAAAAGAGTCTCGAAATACCTAAGCGAGTTGCTGAAATGGTCCAGGTATAATCAGAGCAGTCAGGCTTTTGGCACTTGTGCGTTGACGATAAGTGGGACTCAAAACTGGTCTGAAAAATTAAAAAAAAACATTTTTTTCATATCGTAGTGCTTCTTAGTTCAGAAACCTATTCGTCATTTGACAACCTTTGCAGTACTTAAAGCTCCGTAGAATTTTTGCACTGCAAGATTTAGGTTTCCGGTTGTTCTATGACGGTCACGTCTATCACAAATCTCATCTCCTTTGGAAATGGTGTGCTATCGAGTACCCCCGTGCTGCAGGTATATTCGTTTATGACCTTTGGGCCCTAAAAACGAGAAGTTAGACATCATAAGCATACCTTCCAGACCTTTGCCATCTATTCAGTGGTTGCAAGCATCATCTGCTACCTATACCAGCTCATACTATTTCCAGCAATCTTGTCTCTCACTGCGCACAATGAGTACAGAAAAATCGTAGTGGAAAGTCGGTAAGCAGACAATTTCCTTTTTTATGCTAGAGTACACCTCTTGCCCCACTTAGGACATTTTAATTTTTTACCGTTTTTCAATAACCGTTTTTCCTGTCTCTCAGAGTTTTGCGTTACCATTTGAAGAGGGAGAACAAGCTCGACGAGACCACCCAAATATTTGCTTGTTGTCACACATCCATTTTGAAGCCGGGATTAAAAAGATTTAAATGCTCAAAAAGTCAGAAATAAATGTATTAGGTTGTCCCAGAAGTGAAAGTATTTCTATATGAATCAAGATACCTTTGTTTTCTCGGCAGACTTAGGGTACCATTAGATAGAGCGCAGCAAGCTCTACAAAATAATCCAAAGATCCGCCTAAGCCGTGATTCAGAAATTTGGATCCAAAAATCAGAAATTTCCAGCTACCCTAAAAATCGGATTTCCTTCCAGAAAATCCCTGCAGAGTTTCTAGTTGGTCATTATACGTGAGACATATAGAGATACCCAAAAATGTATTGGTGGATTTTTGGGGCTCACAACTGACAAAGAGAAACAAAAATGGTCGAAAATGCCAAAATGCCACTTTTTTCGAGTCTACACGTAAATCTTGGTATTTCTTGATTGCAAGGGCACATGCAGAGTTAAATGAGATTATACTAAGTAAGGCTACTAGTATACAATGACATATATGGGAGGGCTGGGGCGGAGTTTGGTATTTTTGGACTGTCGAATTTTCTCGGTTTCTATGCGCGGAAAAAAATCTATTAAAGATTTATCTGAGTATTACTATGTGTCTGCTTTGTAATGACGTTTCTTCGCAAAAATCAAATTTTCAGTTGTTAAATTGTTTTCGACTTTTGCTCCAGACTTTACCTGGATTAGGGCTTAGGCGGATCTTTGGTGGTCATTCTATAGAGATACCCAAAAATGTATTGCTACTACTATATACTATACTTGCCTTGCTCTATAGAATGGTACTAAATATCCAGAAAAGCAAAAGCAGTCTGTATCTAGAAATACGTTTCACTTTTGGGACAACTTAGTATGTATCTTTGATCAAAAAATTCTACAGACTTTCTAATTGAGGTAAGTAGGCATTTTTTTTACTCTTTTGGATTTTTTTCTAAGGAAGTTCCCACCCTTGCGCATCCACTCATCCCGATACTAAATGAAACTCTCGAGAAAAAAAACTATGTTCGTTGTCCTGCGAGAGCTGCTTCTTGGTGCGAAAAATGAACCCATAATCTGGGTACAAATTTTACGGTCTCTTTAGCGCTCAAATATAGCACTGCTAAGTATGAGTGTTTTGGACAAAAAGTATTGTTCAAATGGAGTGCTCTGATATTTAGCATTGGTCCATTGCAATTCTGTCGAATTTCGTACTGATTATGCATTCAATTTCTCAACTAAAAAAACGCTCGTAATAACTCGACCTCCAGAGCGACTCGGCAGATAACGAAGACAATTGGAATTAGCGTTCGGTACTCTTTATAATCGTATTAATTTCATGAAAAGGCCACTTCGACCAAACCGACCTCCCTTGTCAGTTGAGGTGAACCCTGAGTTGATCTCAATGCGCCTCAGCGCAGTATCAATTGAAACATCGATCCTGCTGAGGATCGCTTTGTGGGGATGATAAAAACTGCATGTTGCTAAAAAGAACCCGCACTAGCGCTTGTGCAGGTTTAAACGAATGTTGAGAACTAGGCGCGATAAATGTGGCAGTACCGCGGTTTGAGATCGGCAGGTAACGCGGATTTTCGGGTGGAAAACTATATGTCGCCGAATGTGGAAGAGTCCCGCGCGGATTTCCTGCAGGAACGCATGTCCGCGCATATACAAGGGCGCGTATTTGTCGCAAATGACCGCGGGGACCGCCCTTTTTCGGCGACATATAGTCCCCTACCTCGGATTTTCTATTATAGCGAGCACTTTGATAGCGGCCACTATCCAAAAATCGATCGACTATTTTGCCAATCAAGCAGAGACATAGAATAATTCCAATGAGTAGCATCAAATTCCGTGAAAAATCGTAATTTTTGGGAAATATAGAAAGAAGTCTTTATTTTGAGCATTCTCTGATTAAAATAAGGATTTGATCAAAATATTCCACAGAAATCAAAAAAAATCTTGCTATTCTATTTTTACTGCAGTCAGCTGTTCGTTGATCCTTCCTGTATATATGCCCCCGAAATCGTGCAGCTTCGCGCACTCTTGTCCGCATTGTTATGTCCTTTACGTGTCCCGTAACACTCATAAGCAATTTGCACACTATCTCCGATCTTAAAACGGACTTTGCTCCTACAGAAGTCAGCTGAGATCAACGCGGCATCTGCTCACATGCTCACTTGAGGTGGTCCCTTGCATTCTTATAGCACGAAGGAATACCGCTCATAACTTCACCTAAGAAACCTCTACTGAAGCCCTCAAATCAGTACATGGAAACTGACCGGGCTTTACTGGGAGCCATATTCGCTGTGAACAGGAGCATGTTTCCAAAGTAGATCCAAACCTTTAAGGCAGCAGCTCGCCAAAAACGAACATACCGAAACTCTGACGCGGAAGGTTGCTTGTAAACAGACATGAGAACAGAGCAGGTCCGAGCACACAGCATGCTGCCCTTGCCTAGAAAAAACTGCCCCTAAACCCGTTACACGCAAGCCATCCTAATACGCGCGGACAAGCTTGCGGTTCCCTGTGACCCGTCAGAGAAGGCATGTCGCAATGTTATAACTGCGAGGGTCTCGCAACGATTCTGCCTCCTTAACCATGGCGGGACGTGCTCCACTCGTCCAAATTCAAAATGGGAGGCCTTGGGAAATGACGGTTTTTGCTATTTTCGCGCTCTTCAAGGAGGATTTTCGGAATAAACAGCGCTCCGAATTACACCAGGTAAGCAAAAAAAAAACTTCAAATCGAGAATCTGCCGAGCCGCTGCCTTTAACTATTATATTCACTGATTTTCTATTCCTGTGTGTACGACTATAGAAAATCTACTCTCAGAATGGCCCCGAAAAACTTTGAGTAAATAAAGATGGTGCTGGGCGGGTGTTATGTCTGCGAATACAAATACAGTATCCATCACTATTGAAATCATCAAGTCTATTTTGTGGGTATTAACTAAACGTAGAGCTCGGGGAACTGAAACTTGAAACAGAAGAGTAAAAAGAAGGAACAATACTCGTACTAAAAGTTGAAGTAATATGTCATTATGAACACACTTCGCCTTTAGCAATTATTACCACGTTATGTTTTTAATTTTTTTTTTGCCCGCTACATTCTCAAAACATGAAGCATTTGCAACGACACAGCGGCCCTTTTTTGGTTACAAATATATGGAGAGACAATGCGTATAAGTATAAAGTCCGTTGATGGCTTTGTTGGATTGGATATATGTGATTGATTACTCATACCTACCCATACAGGTTCTCAACCTGCGCTTAAACAGAGAGGATGTTGGAGATTTTTTTTGGAAAGTTTATAATGAATACTAAGTAGGATAAGCTGCCGAGTGTACTTCGGGAAATTCAAATCATTGAATGAATGAACATCAAACAAATTCGAACATTGAAAATTTTAAATAAATGAGTGTCAAATAATATGCGAAAGCCAAAAATATCGAATGAACAAATAACAATAGAATCCGAAAATCAAAAATTAGGATAAACCATAAAGAACCCGACGTTTTCAATACACTCCGCAGGCATGCGTGAACGCCACTACTTCATAGTCGAAAAGGCAATTGTATACGTGCTATCCTTTTACATGACTTGCGGGGCAGCGATTACCAAGTCAGTGCTTCTATCCTCCCAAAATCACCCTGGTACCAATTTTAGCGTCTACGAATTTAGAGGGCACGGGAGCCAGGGGCGGGATTGAACCTGCTTCCGATCCGGTCATAGCGACGCCTCGTACCATTGCGGCACTCGTCCCCGCACCACTGTATAGGTTTGATGAATATAATTGCAAGATGGATTGTAACAAATTTTGTAAAATGAGTATAGGGTACGCTTTTTTACATTCGAACATTGATTCGAATTTCGAATAATTCGTTGAATGTTATTTGAAACCCCATTTTTGATTGTTCCATTTTTCGGAATTTATTCGAAGACTTCAAATTTCGAATGCGAATGTATTCAAAATTTTTATTGCAATCAAAATTTTATTCGAGCACAAAAGTATACTTCTGGGCGCGTATTGTAATAGGGGACTGTTTTGAGTAGTTAACCTATAGCTACTTTTATAGAGCTCATGCACTTTCCGAGAGAGAGAAAAAATGCGAGCAACTGTACAAGACTTGTCAGTAAATAAAAAATCGTAAACCTGCCATTCTGAGCTACTTGTTTTTAGGAACACATGTCTTTCCGAAACATTCACGCCGATAAAGTATGCTGGCATTTTTCATGATCGTGCGTGGAGGCGCCTTGCTCGCGAAGTCGGAAAACGCTGGATGCGCGTTCTTACGATCTTGGTACTAATAATGCAAAGTGAATCTCCCAAGTTTACAGCAGCTACAGGTTCTCATCGCCTACTGGATCATAACCTATTATGGCATCTCTATGGTGGAAACTGATTTGTCGGTGCAGAAACTAGCTCCGAAGGACGCACGAATTGTCAAGTTCAAAACGCGATATGATGAAGCAATCAAGGTTTTTTATTTTGGTTGTTCACTAAATCTTATCTTATTGAATTTAGGATATGCAGACATTTGTAGTGGTCATCACTAATCCCGGCAATCTGTCCGACGTGCATAGACTTGATGCAGTAAAAAGTATTGTTCATGACTACGAATCAGCGAGTCACAGGTAAATAGTAGTCACGAAAAGCCACTTTTATGTGAGGAAACTAGTTGCTAAAAGCCATTCCCGTGGTCCCTGTTAGATAGACTGTGACAAAACTTACCGATTTCTGTATCTCATGTCTACACTCTACTTCCCCACTCAGTTTATTACTTATCTTTTTGTAGTGAGTCAAGTTTCTTCAAATTTTGTGGCTACAATTTGATATATAAATTCCAATCTTGCCAATAATTGGTATTTTCGTAATCAGCATGCTTGCACAATTCTTTTTACTAATCATTCAAAGATCCCGCACTTAGTTTACAAAAATTGATGAACCCTCTTCTTAGTAGTGCGCACACCCTCTTCGCCATGTGTACAATGATGGAAACGTTGAAAAATGGGAGTATTTATTTGAACATGCATGCAGACACACAGAGAGACAGACAAACAGCAAACAGTCTTGAACTTTGTGTAGAAGATCGACTCTCTACTTACACGTTTAACTTATTAGGTTGTCAAGAAAATAATGTCGTTTTTTATTTGCTTGCTTTAACAAAGCAATCAGACTCAATCCAACAAAGGTTAATGGGTATTGTTCGACAGAGCAAAGCTAGCTCTACAAGATGGAGTTTACGATTTTGTGCCAAGCTTGATCCACGGAAAGTTCGAACTCAAAATCTGGAGATTTCCAAATGGCCAAAAAATCGAAGAAAAATCAGATCTTCGTTTAAATAATTTATACGGACCTCCTACTCGCACACGTCAATACTTCCGATATGTGATATTAACATGTGCAGTTGCTGTACTTTTTCGTTAACTAGAAACTGAGAGAACGAAAATTTTCGTCTTTTTCTAGAAGCAATGCTGAGCCGTTCTTGCATATGTGATTCCATACTACAGGCCTAGGTAAGGATGAGTGTAGATTTTCAGCCCATTCCGAGCAGTAGTTTTCGGAAAATGTCGCTTTTGGCACTGAAATGAAAAGAGGATAGCTGATTTCGATATTTCTTGAAAACTACTGCTCGGAATGGGCTGAAAACTTTCAATTATACTTACCTAGGCTTGTAGTATGGAACCACATATGCAAGAACGCTCAGCATTGCTTTTAGAAAAACACGAAAATTTCCGTTTTCTAAGTTTCTAGTTAACGAAAAAGTACAGCAACTGCACATATGGGTATCGCATATCGGAAGTATGACGTGTGCGAGTAGGAGTTCCGTAGAAATTATTTGGACAAAGATCTGATTTTTTTCGATTTTTTTGGGCATTCGGAAATCTCCAGATTTTGAGTTCGGACTCGGTGGATCGAGCTTGGCACAAAATCGTAAACTCCATCTTGTAGAGCTAGCTTTGCTCTATCAAACAGTACCCATCACCCTTTGTTGGGTTGAGTCTGGTTGCTTTGTTAAAACAAGCAAATAACGACATTATTTTCTTGACGACCTAATGAAATTGATTCTAACTGAATGACCACTTACATTTTCCCTAATAGGCGACCGCGTTTTTTCTTCATGTGGCTTGTATCACCTGTATCACCTGTATCCCCGTTGATCATCGTGTTGCACGAGCGGGTGCCAGTGATGCCTCCATTCGTCCCTGTCTCGGGCGATTGTTGACCAATGTTTACGTATCGCACCAGGAACACGTGGAACGCTCTGAAGGACTTCATTAAAGGACTTCGTGAACATATCTGACCATCGCATCGGCGGTCTTCCTCGTTCGCGTTTGACGTCCAGTGGTATCCAGTCTGTTACAGCTCTCGTCCACCGGTTGTCGTCGAAACGCATTACGTGCCCGGCCCATCTTATCTTGTTCTGCTTGGCGTACGCGGCAGCGTCCCTGATCTTCGATCGTTGACGTAGGGTAGAACTTCGTAATCCTTGCCTCACTTGCGTGAGTCGATTCACTCCTAGCATCACTCTCTCAACAGCTCGTTCGATGACGCTAACCGCGTGTTCATCCTGCTTTCTCATTGTCCATGTTTCTGAAGCGTACGTCAAAGCAGGAAGAACCGTCGAGTTGAAAAGGTGGGCGCGGAGCCGGATGTTCTTGGTCTTCTTCACTACGTCCTCAATTGTCTTATATGCTCCCCATGCTGCACGTTTCCTCCTGCTCAGTTCCGGAGCTAGATCATTCATCATATTGAGTTCACGACCTAGGTAGGTGTAGCTTGAGCATTCGGTGATGTTCGTCCCGTTGAGCATGAAAGGAGCATCAGGCACTCTTCCGTTCCTCATGAACATCGTCTTCGTTAGATTCAGCCGTAGACCGATCTTTCCACACACTTCGTCAAACTGGGCCAGCATTTGTTCCGCCTGCGTGATGCTTGGTGTTATCAATACGATGTCATCAGCAAAGCGAAGGTGGTGTAGCTGCCGGCCGTCGACTTTCACTCCCATGTTGTCCCATTCCAACTTACGCATGACGCTCTCCAGAGCGGCACTGAATAGTTTCGGCGATATAGTATCGCTTTGTCGCACGCCTCTCTTCACGTCAATGATGATGTCCTTGTAGAATGGTGTTATGGTGGTTGTGAAGTCGTTATACAGCTCACGAATTATCTTGATGTAATGAGTCGGAATACCTTGATTGCTCAAGGCATCGATGACTGCTTCAGTCTCAACCGAGTCAAAGGCCTTCTTCAAGTCGATGAAGGTGAGACAGAGCGGCATCTTATACCCTCGTGACACTTCAATGAGCCTTGACACCGTGTGTATGTGGTCGATCGTGCTGAATCCTCTTCGAAACCCAACTTGCTCGCATGGTTGTCCTTCGTCCAACTCTCTTCCGATCCTGTTGAGAATGACTCGCGTAAAGAGTTTGTAGACTACAGACAACAAGCAGATAGGGCGATAATTGCCGATGTCGCAGGGATCTCCCTTCTTGTACAGCAACACGGTTTTGCTGGTCTTCCATTGCCTTGGAACCTTGCCTTCCGTCAGGTACCGCGTGAAGAGCCTTGCCAAAGTCTTGATGAGAACTGGCGACAGATTCTTCAGATGTTCTGGTTTAATCCTGTCGGGACCGGGTGCTGTACGGTTTTTCATCGACATGATAGCATGACGAATCTCGGAAGGAAGAACAGACGGTGCGACATACTCGTCCTCCTTAAGATGGCATGGTGGAAGGTGGACGTGGCTTGCAAAAAGATCCGAGTAGAAGTCGTGGATGACCTTCTCCATTGATCTTCGGGAAGCAGTTATGGTTCCGTCAGGACGACGAAGTGCGGTCATCTTTGTCTTGAAGTTGACGAAGCTTCGGCGGGCGTTGCGTATACTTCTTCCAGCCTCCGCGGCGTCAACCATCACTGCTACTCTTCTCTCCTTAAGGTCTTCTTTTATCGCTTCTCTGCATCGCTTCGCAAGCTCGGACGTCAGTCGGTAGTTGCCTGTGGCTCGTGCGCGTCCACGTTGGCGTATCAGCTCCAAAGTCCCCGTGGTGAGACGCCTTCTCGTACTTCTTAGACTCTGAGCTTCCTTGGCACAACCGTGGAGATGTTGTACGAACCGTTCGTATTCTTCGTCGATGTTGTCCATCACGGTATCTCGCCATGAGCCGGATATCGAAGAAAACAGATCCCAGTTGGTGGTATTCATGGGACGATGTTTCCTGAACTTGACGGCTCTCTCTCCATTCCGCGGAAAGTAGAATTTGGCGCGCAGGAGACGATGGTCTGATCCCGTGTAGAACTTCGGAACAACAGCGACGTCCGTCAGGCAGTACCTTCTGTTGACGATGATGTGGTCAATCTCGTTATGGTACTCTCCACCGGGCGATTCCCAGGTCCAGCGTAGGGAAGAGGGCTTTTGGAACTGTGAGTTTCCATGGATAGTCCTCGTCGTCATGATAAACTCGGACAGTCTCTCCCCTTGTTCGTTCCACTGCAAACCATGGGTTCCGATGTGAAGTTCCTCAGTCGACCTTCTAGTTCCGATCTTCGCGTTGAAATCACCGACTATGATCTTGTAGAAGGTATGATCTTCTCTGTAGAACTTCTCCAACTCCATATAAAATTCCTCGAGTTCGTCCTCGTCGTAGCTGGATGTTGGGGCGTACGCAATGAAGACGGTCAAGGCAGGGATTGATCCACATCTTGATATTCGCAAACGTCCGATTCGAGTTGTAAGTTGTTCGAACGAATCGATGTTCATGGCCAAACTCGTGTTGACAAGGACTCCCACTCCACCTACTCCTCGACTGTCGCACGTTCCTAGAAACAGTTCTTCTCCAGTCTCAAATGTGGCGTTCAGCGGGTGGTGTCTCCTTGTCTCGGTAAGTCCGATGACGTCGTACTTAATTTTTCTTGCTTGCATTATGAGATCTTCGATAGATGCGTCCGATGCCAGCGTCCTCGCGTTGTAAGTACAGATCGTCATCATAGTCCGTCTCGTTTTCGGCAGCCTAGATCGCCTTTCAAACCTTGTCCCCACTGGCACTGCCTTACCAGTGGCTCTTCCAAGATTAAAGGAGCTTTCCATATTATCACTGTGTCGAACAAGAATTTACTCGCAGGGATAGCTTGTTGGGCTCAAAACCCCCGCGAGGGACGATCGGAGCTTATTTGTTGGAGGCGACTCCGAACTCGCCTCCCCACACACCTACCCGGGAAATTAGGGCGCAAGCTTTTAGTGGAGGCAGGGTGTCCGTCCCCCGGCTCCGCTTGCTTATCGAGCAGGCGCGGGGTCGCTTTTGGTCGGCGATTATCCCCCTATCCGCCACCTGGGGACGCCCCACGTAGCCTCGCGACTAACCGGCTGTGATCCCTCTATGAGGGAGATCCGTGGATGTGGCTTGTATGTTTTAATATTAATGTGTAGATGTAATTTATTAATGTAATATATTGCTGTAATTATTAATATTAATATGTATATGTAATTGTATATTAATGTAATGATTGTAATTATTAATATATTATTGTAATTGTATATATAATTATGTATTAATAATTTAGGCCCTTATGCATTATCATTCCTGTAAGCGGCTGCGGCGAGGGGAGAAGCGTCTCCCATCTCCCATTATGCAAACGCCGCAAGCTAAAGCACAAGACTCCTGACCCGTACCCGCATGAGCCCTTCAAAACGGGGGCGCCGATGCGGCCTTTTTATCACTGGGGATTCGCTCGCTCCCCCTGCCGCAGAGAATGCAAATAGATCTTGGGGCCACATGCATCGAAATCTCCGTCAGGGAGGAGATCGTAGCTTAAAAGTAAGTCTCATATCCTGAAGTTCCAGAGATCTGGATTCACGCTGTCGATCATTCGTGAATATCCCTACAATCCTTCTCAGTGAACATACCTAACAGGAGCAAGTATTTGCACAAGCTAGCTTTTTTACAATCCCCCGAAGACCTCCGGCGGCCGAGCGTCTTTCCTCAAAAGTCAAATCGTACGGCATATCTAATCCAATGGTGCCAAATATGTTTTTGATAAGAACTAATGATGTATGAAATCCATGAAAATTGCAATAAAACACAGGTGGAAAGTTGGGGATCGAAAATCTCGATATTTCGAATTTGTTTTGATCGGAAACAAGCTTAACACTGTTAGACTAGATGATTAGTACAACTCCGAAATATTCTCTACTGCGAAGAAAGAAAAATGATTTTGAAGAAAAAAGGGCTGTCCGCCGAAACATCAGGAAATTATACGAAAAGTTGGAAAGCTTTTTGTACAACTTCTCGATCCTGTACAATATGTTTATAGTGAGAGGTAGTAGAAATAACTAAGAATGGATAGACAGCATGAAACCAGATATTTGGATTTAGGAAATGAAGCTTTCTTTCACGCTGCATCCCTCTTGCCGGCGGGGATGATAATGCCGCGGCCCTTAGAGATCTCAAATGCACTGATTGTGATATCTTCAGCAACAGGACGCATACGCTTTCATGTAACCATTAGTATAGCTCATCTTCTTGCAGTTATGGGCCAGCATCGACATTCTGCTTCCTATTTTCCTACATGGACTACATAACTTTTCTTGAAGAAGAGGAAGACGACAAGGTAGACGCAGTGACCAAACAGACCAATATTTCTCTGAAGATCCAAACAATTTGAAGCCTTCCGTTTAAGAATGTTGGCTTTACCTACACTCACATCCCTTCATTCCTAACTTCCGATCCATACTGGAAAGGAACTCTGCGCGTAAACGAGACCGCCTGCGAGCAAAATGATCAGCATTGTATCCACTCGTTTCTCTTCACTACCGGATTCACTACGCTAGTCAGGTAGATTGCCTGCTTCTAGCATTGAGATACTTGACTCTGGCGTTATATTATAAAATCAGGTACAATGAAATGTTTCCGCTTATTCAAGAATGGCGCGAGATTGCCAGAAAGTATCCGGACTTTGGTGTCTATGCATATTCAGAGAGGAGCACATTCGCTGACCAGGTGGCTGCCATTTCGTTTCAGAATCTGAGTTTAGCGCAGTATAAAAAAGGTTCATTTGCAGACAAATGTTCTTGGAGACGTGATTTGGCAAACTCTTTATTCTGAAGTTATCTGCATGGGGCTTTCCTTCATTGTATTCATTCCGGATCTTGTTTCTATAGCTTCTGCTATGTTCAGCCTTTTGAGCGTCAATCTTGGTGTATGGAAGGATGTTTTATCAAAAGAGAGTGAAATTCTATTAACTTTTGATTATAGGTGTTTGGTTTCCTCTCCTTATGGGGTGTGGGCATTGATCCGATTTCGATGGCGGCGTTGCTTATGTCCATTGGGTTCAGCGTTGATATCTCAGCCCACATCAGTTACCACTATTATCAAGTGAAAGCAAAGGTAACTTTTGACTTGTATTAACAATGATTTTGATGTGTTTTTTTTCAGAATCCTGTGGAAAAACTAGAAGATGCGTTTTTAAACATAGGATGGCCTACTGTGCAGGGCGGACTAAGCACACTGTTTGCAATGTTACCCATTCTAATTAAACCAAGTTACTTAGGACTGGTGTTTTTAAAAGTACGTCATCCACTCAATTTAGTTAGAATCATAAGTCGCCATTGAATTTTTTAACAATAACATTAAATTTGTGCAGGCCTTTTCGCACCTTGCGCAAATTGACATTGATATGATTTGTCATGATTCCTTGTATACGTAATTTATGTGAGCTGTTCTGCATCGGCTTACAAAATGTACGGGGTTATGTGCTTGCAGTGGATTTGTAGACCTCTAATTGCCAAATAAAAGATGGCGACTTAGCGGAATTCCGCGCGTTTACTGATGCAGCGCTACAATTTTGAAAACCTGAAACTATTAGGTTGATGCAAATTCCTGCACCAAAATAGGTACAGACCGCAATAACTCGGAATAATCCTATATCCCAAGTAGGATTCGATATATCATTTGATAGCGCAAACCTAGCTCTACAAGGAAGTGCTTAAAGTTTTGCAGCAGCTTTGACTCAAGCGAAGATTGAAGCCAAAAACTGAAAAAAACCATGCGTCCGAAAACCTTAAGACAGATCTTAAAAAAATTGTAACTTCGTTCAAAAAGCTCATACAAATTTTCTTTCTTGCTCACGCGTAGACGTTCCACGTAAGACATTTATCTATGCGGTTGCTGTATTCTCAACTAGACGATGAGAAAACGAAGTTTTTCATGTTTTTTCCAAAACAATGCTGAGATGTTCTAGCACTGACAGTTGTATACTATAGGACCGTGGAAGCGTGAATGTGAATTTTCAGCTCTTTAGAGCAGCTGGTTTACGAAAAAATCGAATTTTTAGCAACTAGGCCAGAAAAATTTGGATAAGGAGAGCTAGATTCGTTATTTCTCGCGAACTAGCAGTTCTAGAAGGCTGAAAATGTAAAGTTTCACTGCTAACGGCATGTACTATACAAGTGTTAATACTAGAACATCTCAGCACTAATTTGACAAAAACATGAAAAACTTCAAAAAACTTCGTTTTTTCGTCGCCTAGTTGAGAAAAAAATACAGCAACCGCATAGATAAATGTCCTACGTGGAACGTCTACGCGTGAGCAAGAAAGAAAGTTTGTATGAGCTTTTTGAACGAAGTTACAATTTTTTTAAGATCTGTCTTAAGGTTTTCGGACGCATGGTTTTTTTCAGTTTTTAGCTCAAAACTTCGCGTGGATTGAAGCTGGTGTAGGTATTTGGGCACCATTTGTAGAGCTAGGTTTGCGCTATCAAATGATATATCGAATCCTACTTGGGATATAGGATTATTCCGAGTTATTGCGGTCTGTACCTATTTTGGTGCAGGAATTATGCATCAACCTAATAGTATCTGAAATAGCAGGGAGTTCTAGAGAGTTCAACATACCTGTGTATACTTTTATCAGCTGAGATTGTGGTGAACATAACGAGCACACCAAAGGCCGCCGATGGGGACACAGGGGAAGAGCCCCTTTCCCCGCAGCGAAATTTTTGAAAATGGCCTAAATAAATCATGAAGTGCAACTTGCTTGTTTTTATTTGTAAACAATCAAAATCAAAATTTCCAAAATTTCAAGTTTTTGAAATTAAAAAAAAACTAATTCGTGAAAAGCATGCGAAAATTTCTTAGAAGTGTTTTTTCCTTTCCCGCCCCCTCGAAGAAAGCGATACGTATGATAAAGTATTAATTAGAAGACAATGGACAATACTTCAATAACTGCTTTGGCTCTGTCTGCATATTCAATCAGTTTCATACTTTTTTTTAGACTGTAGCTTTAGTCACGATAATCGGCCTTGTGCATGGACTCATCGTGTTGCCGGTGCTACTATCCATGCTTACAGCTGTAAAGGAAAAATTCGGAAAAGAGTAAGCTGAAGGTTTTGGCGAATCTATCACTGTAATCGCTGGTGCAAAACACTTTTCAGTACCATTGCATCCACTGATCAGGAAGGCTCTGAAAGCGGAAGCAGCACGTGTACGATTAAACCTCATCGTATATCCATCAAAAGCTTTACGGCTGATAAACCAGTTCATTGAAAGAGCAGCCAACAGCTTCTATCTCAGTGCCGTTGATACCTCGTAGTATGACTGCAGACATAATCATGTCCTCTTGTTATTAATGCTGTTGTGATCTTTTATTCGATACTCTCCCAAATATGTACATGCGTGAGGTGTTACGATACATTACGGGTAATTTCTTCGTGACCACTTGTGCTGCCTTCTTGTTAGAAACTTGTGCTGCTCTTTTGATAGAAATGAAAGCTACGTTTCGAGTTGCATTGAATTGGTGTAAAAGTAATGGATGTTTTCTTACGGTCTATCTCAATCCGGATCAAAAATCTAAAGCGGCGTAGAGGGCGTATGCGGATCAGCATCAAAACGGTCGATACGGCTTGCTTGCCTGCTTTTTAATCAGTCTTCGCTCTCCGTGCACATTGTGCAGCGCAAACCTAAAGAGCTTCGAGCGTGCAAATTACGGAATTTTCTTTAGGTTAATCACTTTCACGGTGAATCGGAGCTAAAACCAGCCTTACAGATTGGTACTCAAAATTTGGCGAAAGACCACGCGGAAAAAAGATATTAACGATCACACGATCATATCTGCCGTTCAAACAAACGACATCGTAGTCGTATGCAAATCGCAGAAAATGTCCACGTTCACGACCACTTGGGATACAGAACAAAGCCCGATGAACGCCAACGGCAAGACAGAACGCAGAAGAAATTCTTTTGTCTTATTTCTATACCTTGTTGTTCAAGGCAGGGCCCATCCCCTCCAACCTAATTTAGGTAATTCGACACCATAATTCACACATTTTTGCAGCGTCTTTCCAAAAAAACGGTCTGCTAGTAATCTGACGCCCGCGCAAAGTCTTGAATAGCTAGTGTCGCGGATTGGGCCTCCGGCTCCCAACGTCAGTGGTGTTACGGCTCTCCTGCATCGGCGAGGGGAGCCAGGGGTCCACTCCGTGAAAGAGTGGCTAACGTATCATGTGGTGGCTACCTGTGAGGAATGCTATGTGCGCCTGCCACATGGGTATTCCATACACACGTAGAGGCCCTTGCCACCAGCCTGCTTAGCAGTTACTCGACACCTGCGACTCGATCCATACTCCTAAGTCTCGACAGTTGGGGCATAGTACCTATAACCAGGGCACTTAACCGGTATCGTGCCAGCCTTTTGACAGATGGATTAAACTAGGCAAGATTATAAATACACAATGACATGAGATATCCCCGAAGCCACAACCGAGCTGTGGCACACCGCATCAAATCAAATCACACATGGAAAGTACCCACCATTTATACCAACAATTCCCTAAACTCAAACACAAGGGTGGAGCACAACCAGCCAGATCTTATTCTGGGGCAGCAATATTGGGAACCCCCCGTGGTGATGTCGCCGGCGTGTGCCAGGCGCGAGCGCGCACGGGGTTACCTCGTCTGCCTGTCCTCCTCAGCGTGTTGGATGTGAAGACGCATGAGATGGGAACGGCGCTGCATCGATCGATAGCATGGGAGACGAAACTGGGACCCAACCGCTCACCAGGCAACGAAATTGACGACTGATTTGAAAGCTGCGGCGGTAACGATGGGAAGGCGGGAGCAGCGCGAGGACAGCGTTTCGGGACCTCTTCGCAGCGCGGCGGCGTCCTCCTTTGAAGGAAGTCGCGAATCCGCGACAGCTAGAGCCACGTAACCTTTGTCTCGCGATGAAATTGGAGTTTTAGTTAGTAATGAAGAGGGCGACTTTGTGGTGAATCCACTTTATAGTCTGATTGCCCACAGTGTTAAATAAGACATAGTACTTTTTGTCGATCATCAAATAGTCTAAAGACGTTATCGCTGTCTGAGCAAATTCTGGATTTGAGACCTTTTGATCAACTGGCATTTGAAATATTTTGAAGCAACCTTGTCAATTGTTTCTTCTCTATGCGTTCACAAAGAATCATAAGCGCGAAAATATACTTTCAGCCTTTATTGTCTCTAACTTTCAAAATCAGTCACATTATCAGTATGCAGAAGGCCCCGATGCAATGCCTTTTTAAGGAAAATTACTTTGCCTATTTCCCAGCATGTTGCCGCACATCTGACACCAACATGGCTTGGTAAAGCTGCGATCAACTTGGTCACAATCTGTTATGGAATCCTTCGACAATGACGTCGTTTTATTAAGTCGATCCATGAGTTCGTAGCGTTTTTATTTTTGTCTTCGTTTTGTGGTGAAGCGGTTGGTCTAAAACGAAGTATCTTTTACGGTTGGTTGGTTATTTTACGGCAAAGCATCTGTGTTATCCGAAGAGCCAGTTATGATATGCAAGACCTGTGTTTTATTTACGAATACACCTTATAACCTCCTTTTTGAAACTGCTCAAAGCAAGATCTTTTGTACACCAAAAGTGGCGTTTTCGACATCTGCATATTTGGCCCCATATACGGAAATCACCAGAGGGAATTCCATTCAAAATTGCTGTGAGTGTCGAGAAACGACTGCTCATCGGATTATGATGCACATAAAAGCAAACTTTCTGTCAAGGGAGACACTATAGAGAAGGATAGAGAGCATTTTCACCATACGTTTAGATGTTTTGCGTTCAGCCGAAATGAGGGAGTTTTCTAGGCCAAAATTTTTTTGGAAACGTGTTAAATCGCTGTTCAGCGCTTGCTCTCAAACTTTTGCCTCACTTGGACAAAGTTCGTCGTTCAAGGCCTAACAGCAGGTCGGAAACATTCTGCTGCGAAACAACGCGTAAAACTCAAGCTGCAGCAATTGAAGACTGCAACAATTGGACTCTCGTTCAAACAGTTTTTAGTACACTGGCTGGACAACACTGTGTCAGCACATCAGCCTTTCTTGCTAATAGCTACCCCGACTATACATGCAGAGAAATATTTGTGAGATATGGACGAAATACGAAAAGTACGGGTGTCCAAATCAATTTTCTGCCACTCAAAAAACTTTGCTTTGAGACTTTATAAACCAAAGATTGTTAGTATTGTTTCGAAAATAAAAAACAGGTTTTGTAGAGCAATTTTGACTCTCTCAAATAAACCAGATACTTTGCCGTAAATCAACTGCTTTACCAGAAAACGTCGTCGAAATAAAAACGCTACGAACTTATGGAACGATCTAATACAAAGTTGCACGAGAAGACTCATGAAAGCAATTTTAGAGTCTTTGTGAGCATCACCTCAGGCAGTCGAGCATACCTCCGGAGCAGAAATGGCAGAGCCGCGGGGTTTGCCCAGCGGGGTTTGCCACTCGTGCTCCGGAGCCCTCCCATTTTGTGCTCCGGGGCTCTCCCAAATCTGGCGTACCTCCGGAGCAGAGATTTGCAAGCCCGCCAAAGGGGTCCCATCTGTTTTCTTGTGACGTCACCGTGACGTCACAGAAAGGGACCACCCCCTCGCCCCGCTCTCAATGGTCAATTGGGTCCTCCGCAGCTCTGCCAGATTTCGACTATCCTCCGGAGCTACGGCTCAATTGTCTGAGTACGGGATCATCAACCTGTTTCACAACGAAAGGGGTTATGACGCTTCTCCGGGAATAATATGACATCTTCTTTTGGGCCGGGCAGTAACTACAGACAGATAAAAGGAAGCGTGGTGGGCTAGAGACTAGGCATAAAGGGATAGCTATAACAAAGATGTTTTGTGCATTTGATAAATAAAGTGCTAGACACATACAAAAAAGTCTTAGAATTTTTCTGAATTTTTTTGAACACTATCTATCCAGTTTCGGGCTAAGAACTATACCGGCAGTGCAGCTTCCTTGGTGCCCCTCGTCAGTAATTCCCAAGGAAGCCTCAAAATATAGCAAAAGATTTCTGCAAAAATAGGAATCCAAAGTTAAATTCGCATCTCAAACACAAAAGACGCGAGAAAGACAAGGAAAATAAAGACAAGATTGACAAAAACAAAAGTAATATCCAAAACGTAAGACGATGACGAGGAATTGATTGCAACCTCACATTTGAATGAGTGTTCTCCCGCCATGACCTCAGAGCGCATTAGCCGCATTCCATGTTTCGCGCAGTTTTTGTAGAAGAGAGAAATAAAGTGGCATAGCAAATCCGTATTTACGCATTATGAATGGTCTATCGAGGAATATGCGATAAAGCCTCTTCATAAAAATATCAAAATTTCATCCGTTACTTTTAGACGTACTACTAAGTTTAATTATTCTTGCTTTGAACTGTGCGTAATCAGAGCAAATTCTATATATTCTAAGTATTTCTGAGGAACAAGTATTGTACAAAATATATCTTAGTATATTAGAATCCCACTGTGGATACCTACTAACTTTGAGATTGTATGCGTCCATTTAATTGTACATGCTGAATTTTATCGTGTTTACTCAAATTAGTGCATTCGAGTCAAGGAAATTTGCTTTCGTTAAACTAACGTTGGTCTTTTCTATATCTAAAGTTGGAGAATATATTTCTTTCAATCTTCGTTAAAACTCTGATGCATCGCTGGAGACGTGTAATATGTCATCTATATATCTATATGATTATATAAGATAGCGCCACTGTTTAGTGTTCTTATTATCCTTTCCATGAACTCAAATTCCATGCATGCTAAGGTAAGATCTGCCATTTGCGGGCTGCATGGCACCTTGGGGTATACCTTTTATTTGCCTATAAATGACGCCACCAAAAAATAAGTAGCTAGAACCTAGTAAGGAATCTATCATATACATTAGGTCTTCAATTTGGTAATGACTGCCTTGGTTCGTATCTGTGCTAGCATATGTTACCCGTCTGCCATGTACCTTGATGTATTTTTAGGCTTTCATACGTAGGTTAATAAGTTTTCTAAGATTATTTTTTACGACGTTGTGCGGTAAGTTTGTGAAAAGGCTAGAAAAGTCAGCTGAATATATTTCCAGGCTACCATGAGCTGTTGTTAGCTCTTTCAGCACTTGGCTACTATATTCTATGGCCCAGAAATATTTCGTTTTTGTTCTTTGCCAAATGACTTTGCAGTAATTCTGAAAATGTTTTCTTATATGGGCGAGTATTAACTGTAGAATT